AAGAACAGAGCAGTGGTGGAGTGGTGAAGGGGGAGAGGACTGGGTCAGGGGGTCCGGTGTGTGGTGGAGGGAGTAAAGTAAACTTTTGGGGGTGACAGGCCATAGAGTGATGCAACAGGAAATTTTCAAACATTGAGTGGCCAAACTGGACCCAGCACACCTGAAACCTCCAGGAAGTTGGGCTGAGACAGTGCTGGAGAAATTTCTGCAAATTAAAAACAAAAACAAAAACATCATGTTATAAATGAGCTTCGCCTCAATTTACAAACAGGAACCTCCTCGAGAGTAAACCTCCTGTCACTTTATTTGGCAAATGCCATCCATTGATTGTTTTCTTTAAAAAAACCTTACTTCTAGACACTGCTTTTTTTTTTTTTTTTTTGGTGGGGGGTCTCACCTGGCGATGCACAGAGGTTTTCCTGGCTCATGCACTCAGGAATTACTCCTGGCAGTGCTCAGGGGACCATGTGGGATTCTGGGAACCAAACCCAGGTCGGCCACATGCAAGGCAAACACCCTACCTGCTGTGCTATCGCTCCAGCCCCTAGACACTGTTTTTTTTACACAGAGTTTAGGGTGGCAAGAGGAAGCAGCCAGGGAAAATTCCTGGTGGTGGTTACCGCGGTACCTGGGGTATGTTGGTTGTGGTCCTGGGAGGTTGTCCTGATGTGGTGCTGTGGAGTACTGATGAGGAAGGAAGATACAGCCTGCCCATGCTTCAAACAGGCTCACTTGGAGCAGGCAAACCCTGGGGTGCAGAAGCGGCCAAGGGGCAGCTGAGTCAGGGGGACGAGACATGACCATGGAGTGCATTCAGGATGAACTTGACGGAGTCTGAGTCTTGTGTTATAACCTCGGTAAGCTGGGAGTGTCCTCATGGCTTGACATGGTCCAGACCCTGCTTTGCAAGATGACACACTTAGGAATTTCTGTTTTTGTTCTCTTCCGCCAGCTGCAAATACCCCATTCCCTATCAGATATATATGGTGGTACTCAGTGTGTGTTCCTAGCTCTGCTCTCAGGGATCACTCCTGGAGGACTTAGGGGGCCATATGGGATGCCAGGGACTGAACCTGGGTTGGGGTTGTGCTAGGCAAATGCCCTGCCAGCTGCTGAGTTTTCAACTCTGGTTAGATTCTTTTTTTTTTCTTTTTGGGTCATACCCAGCGATGCTCAGGGGTTACACCTGACTCTGCATTCAGGAATCACTCCTGGTCGTGTTTGAGGGACCATATGGGATGTTGGGGATGGAACTCGGGTCAGCCGTGTGCAGGGCAAACGCCCTATACTATGGCTCCAGCCCCATCCTGGTTATATTCTTACTAAGGTTTTATACAATGTTTGTTAAGATTTACTCACATACTTAGGTTTCTTTCCTGTATCTTCTTCCATGTCGTGTATTCCATCTGGAAAAGTCATCCGGTCACTTAAAATAGTTTCTTCAGATCGTTAGCCCACAAAGGCCTTTTGATGTCAAATGCTCTCAACTTTTGATTTATTTGATCTTTTCCTGGAAGAGGCTTTGTTGTTCTTATGAGGTCACCAGTGGTCCAGTGCTAGAAGTCTGGGGGTCACTGCCTGCGGTTCAGTGGGCCTACCCTGAGGCTCCCCCATGTTGTCTACTAGAGCAAGAATTTTTTTGGTGGTGGGGGAGGGAGGGGTGTCATTCCCGGAAGTACTCAGGGCTTACTGCTGGCTCTGCACTCAGGGGTCACTCCTGGGGGCTCGGGAGACCCTATATGCTGCTGGCCATTGAACCAGGACTGGCTGTGTGCAAGGCAAGTGCCCTACCCACTGTACTATGTCTCCAGTCCCTAAACTTTTTCTCTTTTCTAATTTTTGTAGTTTATACAATCTAAGTTGGCAAAGACTTATGCTGCACTTGGCATGAATTCTATCACTTTTTGCTTTCTATTACTGCTGGCAAAGCAGCCAGCCATGCATTTATTATTTCACATTGCCATCTCTTGATTTTGTGCCAAATCTGGGAGCAAAAGAGTAGAGTGAAGGGGCTGGAGCAGTAGCACAGCGGGTAGGACGTTTGCCTTGCACGTGGTCGACCCGGGTTCGATTCCCAGCATCCCATATGGTTCCCCGAGCACCGCCAGGAGTAATTCCTGAGTGCATGAGCCAGGAGTAACCGCGGTGCACCTCTGGGTGTGACCCAAAGAGAAAAAAAAAAGAGTAGAGTGCAAACATTATGTGAAGCTTTTAAAAAATTATACCTTTATAAGTAAATAATACAGGCCTGTTTGATGGGGGCAGTATTGTTTTTTTTGGGGGGAGGGGCGCGTAGAGAAATACAGGATTGGCAGAAAAAAATCTGCCTTGGGGATTTCTCCTTTTGCTTCCTCCCAGGGCTGAGATCCATTGTGGGAACTTGCCTCTCAGAGATCTTTCTCCTCAGGAGAGGAGGAAAGAGCAGAGCAGCCCCTGCTGCAGACCCGATTCTCACTTCATAGAGAAAAGGCCGGGAGGCCATCAATTGTTCCAGCCTTCCAGGTGGCCACAAAGGGTTGCTTTTTGGGGGGCTGAAGACAGCAGTTTGGGCCACACCTGGTGGTGCTAAGGGTCTATTCCTGGCTCTGTGCTCAGGGATCACTCCTGCTGGGGTTCCAGGGGACCTTAGGTGGCACTGCAAGGCAAGTGCTCGCTTCCTTCACTAGCTCTGGCCCTCCAAGTGCCAGTGTGTGTGGGGCTGCCCCCGCTGTCCCGTGCCAGGCTAGAGGCAGGAAAGCAAAGCTACTAGAGGGAGACGCCTCTGACCGAGGGGGCGCTCAAAGCCCCTCAATCGAGGTGAATGGGAAACCAGCCCAATGAGCAGCTTGGAGATGGGAGGGTCAGGAAGGGGGCAGGGGGTGCTGGGTGCCAGGTCAGTCCCTGCCCTGCATGTCCCCCCCTCCCCCCACTCAGCAGGGCCGGGTGTGGCCGTGGTGGTTTCCGGCACCCTTGGGCCCCAGAACTGGCAGGACAGCAGGACAGCCCTCTGGGCACTGCCCCCCCCCCCCCCCCCCCAAATATTGAAAAGTCACCTACATGTCTTTTACTGATGTCCTGTGGTCCATGCCAATGGCATTTCTTCCTGTTAGTCAGCTGGGGCTTTGCTCTGTCTCCGGGATTTGCAGACTGTCTTTTTGTTTTGCTTTTTGGGTCACACCCAGCAATGTGCAGGGGTTACTCCTGGCCGTGCTCAGGGGACCCTATGGGATGCTGGGAATCAAACGCGGGTCGCCTGCATGCAAGGCAAACGCCCTACCCACTGTGCTATGGTTCCAACCCCTGCAGACTGTGTCTTGATGGGTCGTTATCTTTCCAAATGTTCAAATACTGGGTGGGGAGGATAGTTCGGTGGATTGTGTGCTTGCCTGGCATGTCACTGACCCGGGTTCAATCCCCGGCACCCCACATGATCCCCCGAGACCCACCAGGAGTGACCCCTGAGTGCAGAGCAGGAGAAAGTCCTGAGCATTCCAGGAGTGCCCCCACCCCCCAGCAAAACAAAGCAGATATCGAATACTGCTTTTGCCATATTGTCTTCACTCTCCTTCCCTCCCTCCTTTCTGCTTCCTTATTTTCCTCCTTTCTCTTTCCTTCCTTCCCATCCAACTGTAGTCTGGGCAGGGCTTGGGGGATGCTTTGGGGTGCTGGGGATTGAACCCAGACCAGCTGCCACAAGCAAAGCAAGCGTCTTACCTGCTGTTTGATCTCCCTGGCTGTGTATTCTCTTAACCTCTCACATTTTCCTTCCTCACGTTTCCCTCTACCTCACTATGTGGAACCTTTCTCTCTCCTTTTGAGCAATGGCTAATTCTGTAAAGCTATCAAGTGAGAAATGGATGCCTCATTCTCGATGTTAAAGGGCCAAGTGCTTTGGGGGCCAACAAGTACAGTGCCCCTTTAGAACTGATCATGCCTGGGATGTGGGCGGGTTTCACTCCCGAGGAGGTGGTTGAGAGTGAAACCGAGCTATTAGGGGAAAAATTACTCGGGCAAGAAGCAAATTCATTAGTGGTATTGCTGGGGGGCGAGGGAGGGCAGGTGAGTGGGACAGGATGAGCAAACAAGAGTGGGCAGGGCGTTTGGCTTGCATGTGGCTGACCTGGAGTTGATCCGCATCATCCCATATGGTCCCTTGAGCCCGCCAGGAGTGAGCCCTGAGCACCACTGGGTGAGGCCCCAAACTAAAAAAGCAGCCAACCAAAAAACCACCCCTATCCCGTGACCCCCATCATACACCTGGTAAGTTTCTATAGGGATTGCGAGACCTAAATATCAATTCTGCGAATGACTGGCCACAGGGCCCTAGATTCGGATTGTTTTCCTCCTTCATCATCTCAAATGCTGAATTCCGAAATAATCACAGACTCGCAGGGAAGGTTTGAGAACCACGCTGAGACCTTCTGCCCACGCCACGTACCGACCCATGAATGAATGAATGGGCAGAGGGAACCAGCCCCCTGTGCCCATGTGAGAGCCACTGCGGGTGCCAACCACACACAGTCTTGGCACCGCTAAGTCTGCACACAGTAGAGAACACAGACACTTTATAAAACAACAGGCAGTAGAAAAATAAATCTGTCCCCAGCATCCCCGAGAGTTCCTGGGCCCGTGTCCCCACAGTGGCGGCCAGCGCCTTCCCCAACCCCTCTCTCTCAGCAGTCCAGTGGGATGGAGCAGCTATCGAGGTCCAATCGCGGTCCAGGGCTCATCTGAAACACTTTGGCTTCGGGCAATGAAGATGTATTCCTTAACATTAATGTGGCTGGAATAACAATAACAAAAGTCACAGTGCCCGGGGAGGAGTAATCCTTTAAGTTAAGGCCTTCACAAAGCAGCAAGGTCCCGGGATGGGCGATTTCTGCCCGGCCGAGTCTTTCCAACGTAGGGTTTCGGTATTTGATATTTTTAACCGTTGCCCTGGGCCCCGATAAGTTCTGGATCCAGGAGTGTGTGGTGGTGGTGGTGGTGGGGGGGGGGGGGTGGGGGCAGTGAGTCTGGGTTCAGGTGGTCTCGGACCTCATGTGCGTCTGGTTGGGCTCCGGGGTGGAGATGAGCAGAGGGTCGGTATGTCCTCTGGCCTGGGTGTCCTCCTCGGAGGGCTCTGTGGGACTCGGGCCACTGGCGGGCACAGGTACACTGCTCATCACCACGCTCAGCTTGTCGAAGACTTCGTTCTCGTCGGAGGGCGTGAAGGTGAAGAACAGGAGCGGGCTGTGAGGGTAGCCCAGAAACTGTGGGGGGGAGGGGAGTGATAGGAGGGCAGGGTTAGTTGCATAAGATGCCCCTTCCCTGTTTCCTGGGTGTGCAGAGAGAACTCCTGGCTGGACGGATGGGGGCGGGGGAGAGGCCCTCAAAACCTTAGTCAGGGGGGCTGGAGGGACAGGACAGCGGCGAGGGCACTTGCCTTGCACGCAGCTGACTTGGGTTCAGTCCCCAGCATCCCACATGGTTCCCCAAACCCCTCCGGGAGTGATCCCTGAGCACAGAGCCAGGAGTCCATCCTGAACATTGCCGGGCGTGACCCAACAGCTTCAAAAAAAAAAAAAGCTCGAAAAACCTTAGATGTGAAATTACCATTTAAGACAGTCACCCCACTCCCACACCTGGAGGTGGGGGTGGGGAAGCCGAATACCCAGAAGCAGCAAGCCCTCGTGGGGTGTGTGTGGGGGCTCTCATCTAGTTGTCAGAGCTGAGCACAGAGGGGAGCTCCTGAAACAGCTCTCACCCCACCTTCTTTGGTGTTTGCCCCTGAGCTGCCAGGTGCTCGCTCTCTAAGGGACCCCCCCCCCCAAGCTCCCTAAAGCTTTAGATTCACAGCCTCCACCTCCAGGGGGCCCTCCTGGTTCCACATCTGAGAAATCAGTGCTCTTCCTTTTTCCTGCTCTCTTTCCCTCCCTCATCTCTCTTCCTCCTTCTCTCTCTCTCTCTCTCTCTCTCTCTCTCTCTCTCTCTCTCTCTCTCTCTCCTCTCCCATCCCAGACCATTTCTTTTATTCCCTCACCCCTTCAGGTGCTGGAAGCAAGAACAGAAACATTTGGAGGAGAAACAGATGCTGAGGTTAAAGCGAGAAGTCCCAGAACGAGCCTTTGCCTCCTTCCTGGGACCACAGAACTCCTGGAAATTGGTCCAGCGCCCCAGACCTCCACCCCTCCCCCCACCCCCAGGAATCAGGATTTGATGCCCTGTGTTGCCAGAAAGACCCCTCCTTGCCCAAGCCGCAGAAGCCACGGATCCACGTACCTCCTTCAGGTGCTGGGGCAGGGGATTCCCGGGGGAGAAGGCGTACTTGGTCTTCTTGTAGATGTACCAGAGCAGGGCGAAACAGCCCAGGAGGAGGAGGGCCACGCACACGGAGGCCCCGATGATCACGAGCGCAATGATCCAGGACACACTGGCTGTGGGGACAGTGGCGGGAGGGTGTGAGACAGAGGCTGGAGACAGGAACTCACGGTTCACCCTCGCCGCCCAACCCCTGAAAACAGTGCCCGCAGCTTGCCGGGGTGCCCGGGAAATCGGCCTATGCCCTACAGAGGTCGTGCCCACTCATCAGAGCAGTGTCGGGTGCATGAGAGAAAAAAGAGGAAGGGGAGATTTACTGATGACATGGGTGGTTTTCAGCCGGAGCCTGAAGAGTCTGGAAGAAGGCAAGAGGGGTAATGGCCAGGCCAGACACGAGTGGTAAGGCAAGGCACACAGATGTGCAGATGCCAGATGGAAGTTGAAAAGAGGGGTGTGTGTGTGTGTGTGTGTGTGTGTGTGTGTGTATGAAAAGAGGGGTGTGTGTGTGTGTTAGTGGTGGTGGAGAATCAGGTTTCTGTGGCTCAGTTGAGCCAAGGCACACAGATTCCAGACAGAAGCTGAAAAGAGTGGTGTGTGTGTGTGTGTGTGTGTGTGTGTGTGTGGTCGTCATGGATCAGGTCTCATGGCTCAGTCAAGCCAAGACACACAGAAGTGCAGATTCCAAGATTCCAGATGGAAGTTGAAAAGAGGTGTGTGTGTGTGTGTGTGTGTGTGTTTGTGTGTGTGTGTATGCGCATGCGTGTGTGTATATGTGTGTGTGTGTGTGTGTGTGGTGTGTCTGTGGTGTGTGTGGTGGTGGTGCTGGTGATGAATCAGGTCTCATGGCACTGGGTCCACAGGGTGTCCTGATCCTGAAGGCAAAGACTTTCCTGTAAGAATCTCCTTCCAAGGCCAACCTCCCTTCTACTTCATGGACCTCGCCATTGACCTATTTGGGGGGTGGCAGAGATCTGTTCCCCATGTAGGTGCCTGGCTTCTAAGGCGGCAGGTGCCGGAGGCTGCAAAGGCTTCCAACAATTTTCCCACCCGCCGGCACCACCCTCCCCTAGCTGTGGTCTGTAAGTTTTCCAGATGCAGGTTCTGGCCGGACTGCCTGTGGGCACGGTGGGAAGAAGAGAAACCTGACCCACTTCCTTGGCTAGCAGGGGACTCCCTGGCTTAGACCAAGTTCTTTTCTTGGAAGTAAAGAATGGGCCTGCCCTGGGTCTCAGGGCCCCAGTGGAGCCCACACACCAAGGCAGGGGCTGGGACAGAGGCTAGTGGAAATTCCCAGCCAGAGCCCCGCCCAAGCCCAGGCTGCGCTCGAACGTGGCTCCCAGAGGCCTCGGGTCAAGCATTTGCTGCCTCTTCTGCGGGCACCTTTCTTTGCCAGACCGACAGCCCCTTCCTCTGTCCCACTGAGATGTAGGGGACCCCCGGACAATTCAGGAATGGCCCAGCCCAGGACCCGACAGTCTTTCCTGGGAATGGAATCATAGGGAGCAGAGGACCCCTGCCTCCTGTCCAATAAATGCCTCAAGCATAGCTGCCAACCACAAGGTCACCAACAGACCCTCTCACCCACTTTTCACAACATGCGCTTCCTGGACCTCATGCTTCTCTTAAATGGCCCAGCCTGGGGGACCAGAGCCACAGGACAGAGGGAAGGGAGCTTGCCATGTGCCTGGGCAACCTGGGTTCCATCCCTGGCAGCCCTGCGGGGACTGTGATCCCTGAGTACAGAGCTGGGAGTAAGCCCCAAACACTGCTGGAGGTGAAAACAAAACAAAACACCCAAAGAAACAAAAACAAACAAACAACCAGAACTCCCTATGCCCCAGCTCCCAGCACCCGCTTCCAGACCAAAACTTTTCAAAGCATTTGGTGTTGGGAGCAGCCAAGAAAACCAATGCTTTGGTAGAGAATGTCATTTTTTTTTTTTTTTTGCTTTTGCTGGAGCGATAGCACAGCGGTAGGGTGTTTGCCTTGAGCACAGCCAGCCAGGCTGAGCCGGGTTCGATTCCTCCACCCCTCTCAGAGAGCCCGGCAAGCTACTGAGAGTAGCCTGCACGGCAACACCTGGCAAGCTACCCGTGACGTATTCAATATGCCAAACACAGTAACAACAAGACTCAAAACGGAGACGTTACTAGGCCCGCTTGAGCAAATAAATGAACAATGGAAGGACAGTGACTGTGTTTTTTTGCTTTTTGGGTCACACCCAGCAATGCGCAGGGGTTACTCCTGGCTCTGCACTCAGGAATCACTCCTGACGGTGCTCAGGGGACCATATGGGATGCCGGGGATCGAACCTGGGTCGACCGCATGTAAGGCAAATGCCCTCCCCGCTGTGCTATCACTACCCCAAGAGCAAGTCATCTTAAAGAGATCTATTTGTGGGGCCAGAGCGTAGTACCGTGAGTAGGGGGTCTGCCTTGCAAGTGGCTGACCCAGGTTCGATCCCTAGCACCTCATATGGTTCTCGAGTCTGCCAGAAGGGAGCCCTGAGCACAGAGCCAGGAATAAGCTCCGAGCACCCTAAGGTATGCCCCCCCAAAATCCCCACCACCACCTCCACCCCCCACTGCCAAACAAGAGTCTGTTTGTGAGAGAAATAACCCATTTCCACTTTGATAGAGAAAGCGGAAGTAGCACATGGTCCCATGAGTTGCAGCTGCATCCCTGGCCATGTGGTCATGCAGCACTGGACTGTGGGCTGGGGTGGGGGCGGTGGGGGTGTAGGGCAGAGGAGACAGCTCTGAGAGCAGGGGGATTCCTGTTGTACCTGCACTAGCTCGCAAGTTCAATTTCAAGGCACCACCTGCCCACAATCCCTGCCAGCCCACTGGGAGTGGCCTCTAAAACACAACTTGGGAGTACCCCCATACAAAGGAGAAAAAAAAAATTAAAAGCTACCTATGACCTCTGATCCAGCTGCAGATTGGTTCAGGGATGAGGACCGAGGGGGCGGGTGGGCTCTGAGTCTTCCAGTGTTTGCTGGAGAGCACAGGCCACCCAAGCTGGCTGGAAGGAGCCCCCTGCCCTGGGCTGCCCCTCACGCTCCTTCCTGTATTACTTCCACCACACTCTGCTCTGGCATGTACCCAAATCCCTCAGCACACACGTGTTCAATGCCCGTGGCTGGGCTCTCCCTGGCATGGCTGGCACTGACAGGAGGCCCCTTTGCTGGGGGACCAGGGTTTCCTGTGGACCCTGGCCAGAACCAGTGCTGAGTCCAAGCGCTTTCCCGCTATGCTATAGTTCCAGCCCTGAGGTTTATTTCTTGATAATTTTGTTTTTTGTTTGTTTGTTTTTGCTTTTTGGGTCACACCCAGCGATGCACAGGGGTCACTCTTGGCTCTGCACTCAGGAATAATCCCTGGTGGTGCTCAGGGGACCATATGGGATGCTGGGAATCGAACCTGGGTCGGCTACGTGCAAGGCAAACGCCCTACCCGCTGTGCTATCGCTCCAGCCCCTTCTTGATAATTTTGATGTTCGTTTTTGTTTAGGGGCCACACCAGGCTGTGCTCAGGGATCACTCCTGGCAGGGGTCACGGGAACCACATGGTGCCGAGAGTCGAACCTGGTTTGGCTGCGTACAAGGCAAGTGCCTTCCCTCCCCGCTTCTGTGAGGATTCAGGAAGTCCTTCCAGGTCTCTCTTTCCGGACAGGTTTGGGGGCTGCGGGGACGTGTCTTGGTGGGAGACCCCATGCCCCGCACGCAGGCGAGAGGCCCTGCCTTTGAGCCCCAGTGCGCAAGGTTTGCGTTGCCAGGATTCAACGCCCCCTTCAACGCCCCCATAGTGCCTTCATCTTGCTCCTCTTACTTCGCAGGCGGGTGGGAGCCCAGAGCACAGATGTGTGTGTTACATGCCCTGCGCTGAGCTCCAGTCCCTGCCACGGAGGGCTGATGTATGGGCACAGACATGGAGGCTCTGTCAGTGTCCAGCCACGCTTCTGCCTCTCAAGCTCTCTTCTGCCCTCTGATGGATTTTTTTTTTTTTTGTGAGGGGAAGAGTTGAGGGGCTGGTGGGGGGGAGGGGCAGGCTGTGCTACTCCTGGCTCTCTGCTTAGGGATCAGTCCTGGCGGGGCTGGGGGGACAAGATGCAGTGCTGGGGGTCAAATATGCCAGGCTGGTGCCTCCACCCTTTTAGTCCTCTTGGTACTTTTAATTTTTGTTTGGGGGCCACATCCGCTGATGCTCAAGGCTTATTCCTGGCTCTGCACTCAGGAATCATTCCTGGCAGTGCTCGGGGGACCGTATGGGGTGCGGACTGTATGGGATGTTGGGGTGAGGGGGAAATCAAACCTGGGTGCAAGGCAAATCGCCCTCCCTGCTGTACTACGGCTCGGGGTCCTTATTTTAAGAAACAGGGAACGGAAGCTCATGGGTTCCTCCCCTTCAGAGTCCTTCTTCCCGGCAGGCAGTGTGACCAGCCAGCTGGAGCTGGACAGGGAGGGGGCGTGGGACTCACTCTTGTCCTTGGTCTGCTCACAGGCCGGCGGGCTCCATAGCCCAGTTTTGTTCCAATTGGGAAGAAATGCTTGAACTCGAACGCAGTATGTGGTCCAGGGCTCCAGACCCTTCAGCACCTCGGAGTCATACTTGCAGTTCACCAGAAACTGGGAAGGAAGGAGAAGAGTTGGCACCACGAGGTGGGGCCCCTCAATCCCCACCCAACACACGGCTGCCTCTCGGCCCCTTTCTGCTGCCCTTGGAGGGTGGCCAGGAGGGAAGAAGCTCTTCCCCCGAGGCCGAGGCCGAAGCCACAGAGGGCTCAGTTCCCCAATTCTCCCGTTTCCTAACAGCCACCTACGCACTGCATCTGGGGGCATGGAAAGGGCTGAGTGTGCACTTCCTGTGGAGCCTGAATTTGACCTCTGGTAGCACACTGGGATTGGGAGAAGAGGGGGAGGAATGGCGGGGGGGGGGAGAGACAGAGACAGAGACAGAGACAGAGAGGGAGGGAGGAAGGGAGGGAGGGGCACAGTGAGAGTGAGTAGGGGTGGCGGAGTCCACGTGCAGTCCGAGCAGGGCCCTGGGTCCGATGCCCGCACCACATAGCCCCTGGAGACTTGGGCATGGCCCCAGGGCCCGGGTGCCGTCATGTCTGAATTATCAGCCTCTGCAAGCGTCCTGGACGCTGCAAGGGTGGCTCCTAATTTCCTTCTTTCTTTCTTTCTTTCTTTCTTTCTTTCTTTCTTTCTTTCTTTCTTTCTTTCTTTCTTTCTTAAATACAAGGGCTGAAAAAGATGGTATAGCAGGTTGGGCACCTGTCTTGCAAATGACCAAGCCTGGTTTGGTCCCCAGCACCACACAGGGCGCCCCGAGACCCGCCAGAAGTAGCCCCGAGCACTGTGAGGTCAGTCCATGTGAGGAAGGCCAGAACCCTGGGACGAAGCCCTGGCTCTTCAGGGGCAACAGGGGTCAGGTCTCAGGGTGGATGCTGGGGGTCCAGTCCTTATAAAAGGGGACATTTGGGGGGTAAGCGATACGGCCCCTAAGGGCAGGAACATGTGCGTGGCACGTGCAGACCCCGGATTCCATCCCCGACACCCCCTATGGTCCTCCAAGTGCTGCCAGGAGTATTCCCCGAGTACAGAGCTGGGAGTGATCCCTAAGCACAGAGCCGGGAGTGAGCCCTGAGCACAGAGCCGGGAGTTAAGCCCCAAGCACCGCCAGGTGTGGCGCCAAACCCAGAAGGAGCCGCTCTCCTGCGCCCACACCTCTAGCCTGAACTTTCCCCCTGCAGAACCCCGAGATAATATGGTATTTCACCACATAACTGTCACACCCTGATTTATTTTTTGTAAGTGGCATAAATTCAGTGACAGTCGTGCTGTGAAAGACATAGGGGCAGCAAATTCTATGGCTCAGGGCACAGTTGTCAACTTATTTTTTTTCTTTTTGAGTCACACCCAGCAATGCTCACAGGTTACTTCTGGCTCTGCACTCAGGAATTACTCCTGGTAGTGCTGGGAGACCATATGGGATGCTGGGGATGGAACCCAGGCTGGCCAGCGTGTACAAGGCAAACGTCCTCCCTGCCCTCCCTGCTGTGCTATCACTCTGGCCCTGTCAACTTCTTTCTAACTGCAGCCCCCTGGGCTGAGCATAGCACAGAGGGGAAGGCGCTTGCCTTGCACGTGGCCGACCTGGGTTCCATCCTTGACACCCCTTCTGGGTCCTCAGTCTGCCAGGCAGTGATCCCTGAGCTCAGAGCCCTGAGAACCCCTGGGTATAAACGGAAAAACCATTCAAACTGCAGCCCCCTTCCGACCTTGCTTCCTCCCTGTGGGGCCCACCCCCTAGAGGTTGGTCTTCTAGGCTTGTGCAGTGGCCTCACCCCCACCTTTTACACGGTTTTCATTTGTGGCCCTGTTGGAATATTCCTGGCAGAAACCCTGCGTTAGGCTACCCAGCACACTGTCCTTTTTACAGTATCCCCTCACCCCGCTCAGAAAAAATAAAAATAAAAAAATAAAGAGCCAGTTTTGCTTCTAAATCGGGACTATGCTCTTGGCTGCCGGCGGGGCTCTATCCCCCCGTATGGCCCCAGCTGAGCCACTAGCAGCAGCCTTGGGTTTCATCTGAACCTAAGAGACCCCCCTGCGGAGGGCATCTTCCCGAGCTGGAGAAACCGCCCGCTCTGTGTTTCCAGCAAAACAGAGGGAATGGAGAAAGTGTTACCAAGACGGTTCCCGTTTCCTTCCAGGAAGAACTGGGATACTGGCACTGGGACGGGCACAGGAACTTACACGGAGACTGCTGAATCTTCCCTTGGGTAACGGCTTCCTGTTCCTTTTTTTAGGGGGGACCCTACCCGGCAGTGATGGGAGGGTCACTCCTGACCTGGAACTGAGGGATCGTGAAAAAGCACGCTTTCCGGCCTTGGAGCTACTGCTCAGGCTCTTTTCCTCTTCCTGTATGGGGGTGGGGTGAGGGTGGTGCCCACACTTGAACCCATACCTCCTGTGTGCCAAGTACGTGCTCTGTCACTGAGTCACATGCCAGCCCCACTGGCTGTTTTCCTTAGGGTCTTGGGGACGTTCACCTCATGTCCGGACTATAGGAGAAACTGAATAAAATGGCATGACCAGGTTGTTTGTTTTGGCTTGGTTTGGTTTTATTCTGGGGGGTGGGGGCACACCTGGCAGTACTCAGAGCTGACTTCTGGCTCTACACTCAGGAATCACTCCTCGTGGAACTTGAGGGATGATACGGGGATTGAACCCGGGCCAGCTGAGTGCAGGGCAAATGCCTGACCCACTGGACTACTGTTCTGGTCCCAAATGGTAAGACTTGTAAGAAGAACAAAACTTCTAGCTTTCACTTTTTTTTTTTTTTGGTGGGGTGGGGGTGGGGGGCTCTGGGGGCACCTGGTGATGCTCAGGGGTTACTCCTGGCTCTGCACTCAGAAATTACCCCTGGTGGTGCTTGGGGAACCATATGGGATGCTGGGAATCGAAACTGGGTTGACCGTGTGCAAGGCAAACGCCCTACCCGCTGTACTATCGCTCACTTTTAAAGATCCTAAACCCCCAAGACCTTCTGCCACTGGTTTTCCAGCTGAGGGGCTGACCCAGCCATGAACAGAGAGGGTGGGGTCCGCCTTCCACTGGGGTTCTCAGCTCTGTTGGTTTCTATCACTTCACTCTCTCCCATCAGAAAGAAAGAAAAAAAATTAAAGCCTTTTATAATCCGCTAAGCCCCCTGCCCCCAAAAGACAACCTCTCAGCAACACAGACCCTCAAGGGAGAAGCCGGGTCTTAGTTCCTCCAGGCTGCTCTCACTCCAGGGGAATGAATGACCCAAACTTCCTTCTCCACACTCAAACCCGGGACACTCCAGTTGGAGGCACTGGTAGACTTGGCGAGGGCCCTGTCCTGCTTCTCGGTGACCTGTGCCCACAGCAGCGGGAGCTGAGGAGCTTTCTGGGTCTCCTCAAAGAGGGTCACTAACTCTATTCACCATTGTCCCATTCCCCCCAGCCAACTCCTTGCCCAGGCACCACCATCTGACACCTGGGCCACGGACGTGGGGGGAGGGTGCACGTGGGCCACAGTGGACACCAGGGAGGAGAGTACCAGGGAGCGGCCAGCTCTGGTGACTCTTGGCAAGTCACCCCAAGAGGCCCACAGGACAGGCTGGGGCGGGAGGGCCAGTGGGCGGCCCCATGGCTGGGTTGGGGGCCACAGCTTAGAGAAGCAGTGAAAGGGAAAGTGAGTTCTATGCTCTCGCCCATGGGCCAGGGGGCACTTGGATGCAGGCAACATTGGGGGACCCCACGGCTCAGTCCTCCCCAGGCCAATCCCGTCTGACTTCTGCAGCGCAATGGCTTAGCCAAAAGTCAGCATGTGTCCATGTGACATAAATTGTGGAGTGTTTGGGGGGAGATGTTACTGTGAGCGTCTTGAGGTTGTCTGCTTATTTTGGGGGGGCATCACCATCTGTCCCATAAACTGATTCCTAAGATGATAAACATGGGTGATCACTTCTTCCTGAACTCTTTCTTTTGTGTGTGTGTGGGGGGGGGGTGGGGGTGGGGGGAGGGGTGTCTACCCCCTGCAGTGCTCAGGGCTTACTCCTAGCTCTGTGTGCAAGGATCACTCCTGGCTGGGCTCTGGGATACTTATGAGATGCCGGGGAATGAATCGGATTGGCCATGTGCAGAGCCAGTCAGTGCCTTGACCACTGTCCTGTGGCTCTGGCCTTCTTCCTAGACTCCGGAGGATATGGAAGAGCTCAGAGCTCATGTCCACAAAGTCACGGGAGGGCCACAAAGGGTGCTCAACTCGGGAGCACCAACTGGAAGAGTAAACCTGAGCTAGGACGAGGGAAAAGAGCTCTGGCGTATCTGGAGAAGGGAAATGACCCGCCGCGGGGCACCCAGGCAGCGGCCCGGGGACAAGCTCGTGGCTTCCATCACGCCCAGAAATTCCCCAATAATTCTGTGAGGTCGCCTGCAAATCCCCAACCACATCCCTTCTGCATGAAGTAGGCGCCCCACTGGCAGAGGCAAGGAAGGTGAGGTCCCCAAGAGAACCACAGGGCTGTGTTCTGTTGTTTTGTTTTGGGGCCAGGGCCGGCGGTGCTCTGGGGTCACTCCTGGGCACACTCAGGAATTACTCCTGGTAGTGCTCAGGGGATTATACGGGATGCTGGGGATCGAACCACAGTCAGCCACGCATAAGGGAAACACCTTAACCTGCCATACCGTCTCTCTGGCCCCGCAGAAGCAAGGTAGTCTGGATCGAAACTCAGTTAGAGAGAATGTGAGGGGAGAGACAGGGAGAAGCTTGCATGCAAGAGAGAACACGGGCTTCTCTGGAGTGGAAATGGGCAAGCAGAGAAACAGAGACAAGCCAGCGAGATGCGGGTGCTGGGGAGAACAGGGGCTGTTGGGGCAAGCCAACAGCCCGTGTGTTCAAAGGGTCTGTGGGCCCGAGACGCAGGAGCCTGGCCCTAAGGCGCTTGCCTTGTCTGCGGCTGCAGTGACCACACAGGGTCCCCGAAGAACTGCCCGGGATCACTCCTGAGCAAAGAGCCAGGAGCAGCCCCTGAGCACTGCCAGGTGTGGCCCCAAACCCACCTCCATCCCCCAAAATAAATAAAAAAGGACTCATTCCCCCAGAGGAAGGAGGAGGATGGGGGGGTGTGGTGAGGGGGGAAATGGGATCAGAGAGATAAGAAGTGTCTGCCTGTCCGTCCAGTGTCCACAGAGATGGGGCTGCCTGTGGCCATGGCTGGGATGTGGGACAGGGAGTCCACGGGGTAAGGGGTCCATGACAAGAAAGTCATTTACTCAGGGGTGGCCTGGGTCAGCTGACTCCAAGTCCCTTGCACCCTCCCCCCCAAACCAAAATGTTCCTCTCAGCTTCCCTGCCAGGGATTGGGGGTGTGGGGTGGGGGTTGCAGTCACACTTGGAAGCTTCCGGCACTCAGAGGCCATGCCTTAGCTCCCAAGACCAACTTAGGGTCAACTAAGTGAGAGGGACCCACTTGCAGAACACCAGGAAGCCCAGAGGCGAAAACTTGGCCCGCAGTGCACTGGCTCCAGCCGCTCCAGCCAGGCTCACCTTCTCATTGGAGCCGTTCTTCCAGTACTCCAAGTTGTAAGCCCAGTCGTTATAGAAGTTTTTCATGCTCCAGGAGTCTGGCTCGTTCTCAACTCGGGGGACTAAGAAGAGCACATGCAAGGAATTGGCCAGGGCTTTCAGCTTCAATCCAGGAGGCCCAATAACAGCTGAGAACAAAACAAACAGGCAATTACAAAAGGGGGGAGAGAGAGGGAGAGAGGCAGGGAGGGAGAGAGGGAAGGAGGTAGAGAGGGAGGGGGAGAGAGAGAGAGAGGGAGGGAAGGAGGGAGAGAGGGGGAAGGGATAGAGAGGGAGAGAGAGGGAGAGGGAGAGAGGAAGGGAGAGAGGGAGAGAGGGGGAGGAGGGAGGGAAGGGGAGAAAGAAAGAGGGAGGAAGGGAAGGAGAGAGTGAGCAAGTGAGAGAGAGAGAGACAGAGAGAGAGAGACAGAGAGAGACAGAGAGACAGAGAGAGAGAGACAGGCAGGCAGACAGAGACAGAGACAGAGACAGAGACAGAAATGTCTGCCACAAAAGTAGGCCATGGGTTCTGGCGGGGGGGGGGGGGGGGAAACTGGGGACACTGGTGGTAGGAAATTACACTGGTGAAGGGAACAGGTGTTGGAGCATTGTATGACTGCAACCCAGGGACAATGTTGGAACATTGTATAACTGAAACCCAATCATGAACAGCTTTGTCACTGTGTATCTCATGGTGATTCAAAAAAAAAATTAAAAAGGTGATTAAAACTCAAATTTGACAATCAGCAACGTTTCTTTTTCCCAATTTCCCAGGCCCAGGGGTCCATGGGGGACTCTGTAATCTGAAAACCTCTTTCATCTGGAGGCCGAGGGACTAAGCCAAGCCAGTATATTTAAAGAGACTGGTAGGATACTTTCTTTTAAATTATTTTTGTGGGTGGGGTAGGGTCAGGTCACACCCAGCTACGCTCAGTTCTAAGTCCTGGCTCTGTGCTCAAGTCTCACTATTGGTGGTCCTCGGGGAGCCCTGAATGATGCCGTAGATCAAACTGAGGTTGGCCTTTCTGTACCATCTCTCTGGCCTGGATGTTTTGCTTGTTTTTTTTTTTTTTTTTGGGTGGGGGGGAGGCATGTCAGGCGGGGCTCAGGACTTACTTCTGGCTTTGCTCTCAGGACTTACTCTTGGTAGTGCTCAGGGGACCCCATGGGATGGAAGGGATTGAACCTGAACCTGGGTGGCTGCGGGCAAGACAAATGCCCTCTCTCTGGACTATTGCTCCAGCCCCTGGATTTTGTTTCTTTAAAAACAAAACCTGATTGTCTGGGGACGTAGCTTGGCTGAGGAGCTCATATTTTCCTGTGTGAGCCCTGGCTTTAATTCCCAGCACTGTTCCCAAAATCCACTCCAAGAACAAAGTTCTCAAATGAAATCTGAAAAACCTTGGATTCTGTGATGCGGGCTTCGGTCATTTCTATTTAGCGTGATCTTGGATGTATCTGGAGTCATTCTAACTACATGGTTTTGTGTCTTCTATAGAAGCTACCTTCGGGAAGTGGGGCTGCAGTTCCTCTCTCTTTTGCCCCTTTCTTTGGATGAATCTCTTTGTTTTCTCTGCCGGGTTGCAAGCCCTAAATAACAATTCTCTTCTTTTTGGTGTTGAGCATATATAATTAACCAGATATCTTTTCCCAGTGAAATGCAAAGCTGTTCCCTCTTGAATGCTTGGCTGCTAGATATTCAGGTTCTTGGTCCTTTCGCTTTAGAGGTCTTTAAAATGCCCACTCTGGGGGCTGGAGTGATACAGTAGAGCAGGGAAGGCACTAACCTTGCATGCAGCCCACCCAGGTTTGATTCCCCGGTATTCTATATGGTCCCCTGATCACCGCCAGGAGTGATTCCTCGGCACAGAGCCAGAAGTAAGCCCTGAACATTGCCAGGTATGGCCCTCAAACCAAAAATAAAATAACACCTCTACCCGCAGAGAGATTATCCCCTCCCAGCCTCTGTCAAGGGCCGTTCCTCCTGGTCCCTAGCCCGGTCCTTGCTTTGCTTTCTGGAGAGCTGATTCCGACCTGGCAGAAGAGATGTCTGCCTGCCTGTTCTACCTTACCCCTGCCCCCCATGGAATAGGGGCTCCATGAGGACAGGGCTTTGCTGGGCCGGCTGTTGGTGCTTTAACACTAAGAAAGTGCCTGGCGTACGGCTGATGCCCAATTGTTGTAGAGTGACCAATGGCCCCCAGGCCACCATGTGGGGTTCTGTCACGTAATCGCTGCCCGCTGAGCCTCTCAGGGCCTCTGAGTGTCACTGCCTTGAACCCCTGTGTCTCACGTGCTGGTGACTGGAAAAACTGGGCCATGAGAAACTTCTTGTTTCTTATTATAAGCTCTATCTGTCTTGTTCACATGTAAATTTAGTATTTTTGTTTATCGTCTTTATTACAATAAGTGATGTCATCCACTGAAATATAATTCTGGCTTTTGGTCACACCAAGTGGTGTTCGGGGGCAGCTCGTGGCCCGGTGCTTGGGAGCTGCTCCTGGTGGTGTTTGGGGGACCAGGTGGTGCCAGGAATGGGACCCGAGTCACCAGCATGTAAAGCGTGTGCTCTAGTCACGGAGGCCACATCCTCTCCAGCATCCCATATGGTCTCTGGAGCACCGCCAGGAGTTAACTCCTGAGTGCAGAACCAGGAATATCCACCCCCGCCCCCAACACACACACACACACACACACACACACACACACACACACACACACACACACACACACCAGGTGTGGCCCCGAAACAAAACAAACAACAAAAAAGAATTCTTGCTTATGTGCCAGCCTGGGAGGGGGGAAGCATGGGGGGAAGCAGACCTGTAGGAGGGAGCTGTGAGGAGCAAGGGAAGGCTTACTGTCATCCACGGGACAGAAGATGGTGGTGACCCACTCTGAGTGCTCAGCCTGGAACTCCGCTCGGACTCTCAATGTGTAGTTGCCGTACTTGGAAAGGCTCGAGAAATCACACTCTGTCGAGTTAATATGACTGCACTGGTCTTGAAAGGACTTGTAATAGCTGCAAAAATTTAAGAAAAAAAAAAATAGGAATGCCCCACCTCTTGGCTAACCTTAGTTGTTTGTGTTATTATTACTATCTTTACCACACCATATGATAGAGAAATATATACACAGTGGCTTTTCTTCTATGTAGTCATTTTCTCTTAAAAAATAAATAAATAAATAAATAAAATAAGATAAAATGCCTTCACTGGCTAAAATACAGTTTTGAAGGTGATCACAGTTTTGAAGGTGATCGCGCAATATCATCTCTTTTCCTAGGTCATTTGCCTGCAGGGAGCTATCTTTTTCTCCCTAAAACCTAGGTTAATATAAATACTGCAGTCATTTCCATCTCAGCTCTCGGTTCCGGAGGTTCCCCCATGCAAATCATCAGCCCAGCCTCATCCTTTGGGGAGTCTCCCCTGGCCACTCAGCACTAGCATATGGCAGTGGAGAATTTGTGCTGTGCAACAGCTCAAGCTAAGCTACAAAGGTTCCTTTCTGCAGAGTCATAGAGACTAACTCATCAGATTTGTTCAGATCATATTTCCTGTTCAAGGACATACCCAGCATAAGGTTGATTTCCCCAGTACACTCTGCTGGTTCTGCTCACCCATGTTTAGGAAAGCAGGTTCCCCGGTACTGGCTCTTGGCTTCTGGCTCCTGGCATGTCCCTGTAAATTTTCTCCTGAAGACAACACTCCCAACTACATGCTTTCATTCCAGAATACAAGAAGCAACCAATAGAACAAGAACAGAATCCACAGGGAGAAGAGACAAAAAATTCACTGCTATGGTGAAAACCTCTAGAGCTACCTAGAGTCAGTGAACAAAACAGATAAAAACACAGACTTACGGGTCAGAGAAACGAAAAGGGGTAAGACATTTTGCCTGCAGGTGACTCTGGTTCAGTTCCCGGCACCACATGGTCCCCAGAGCACCACCAGGAGTGATCTCTGAGCACAGGGCCAGTACCTCCTGAGCACTGCTGGGTATGGCCCCCACAAACAAAAATAAACTTAAAAATAAAATCACTGTATCTGGAAAGATAGTACAGTACGTAGGGCGCTTGCCTTGCACCCAGTTGATGCGGGTTTGATCCCTGACACCCCAGATGGCCCCCCACGCCTGCCGGGAGCAATCCCTGAACACAGAACCAGGAGTAATCCCTAGGCATCTCTGGGTGTGGGCCACTCATTCTCTGGCAATAAAATAAAACAAAATTATAGATCAAATTATGCTGGAAAAGTCACTGCAGGAAGAAAGTCAATTTCAGCATGACCTTTTCTGAGCCTCTGGGAAAACTGACCAAATGAAAACTACCGTTTTGCTGTCTGAGGTTCTGATCTTGATAACTGTTCCCAGGGTATTGTAAAAGATTATTCCTTCTCTTATGAAACAGACGATGAATATGAAGGGGTAAAGGGCAGGAAGTACAATGTGTGTGTGTGTGGGGGGGGGCGGGGAGGGAACCAGGAGCAAACCCAGTGAAATGGGCGACTGTAGATACAGGTGTGATCTGTACATTCAGGTCCAGGCCAGAGAGATACTTACAGGGTAGGGCATGTTTGCCCTGAGTGCAGCTGACCCTGGTTTGATCCCTGGAGTAAAGTCCTGAGCACCACCAGATGTGGCCCCAAACCAGAATATAAATAAATTTTTAAAAATTCAAGTCATTCTAAACAAAGTATTTTTAGTTTGGGATCAAGAACTGCAACTCGGGGAGGCCAGTTTTGGGTAGAAACCCACAGTGTCCCTGAGCGTAGGGACACGAGGGGGTTTTCACCCAGAGAAGGCTGGGGTTGTGGGGACAGGCAGAGGTTCCCAGGGGAAAGTGGTGACAGATCACTGTGCCAGTCCTTGGCTACTGCTCTCCTGACTGCTGGCTTCGCAGAAGGGGTGCAATGTGGCCCAGTCTGAGATGCTGATGCTGGTAGGTGCAACTCTTGGTTGTGGCTCAATTAACACAAATTGCAGTGACCACAGCAATGAGCAAGGAAGTGTTTCCACAGGGTCAGCTCTGGCCCCTACTTCAGCACTGCTCGTTATGCAGACTTTTAACATGGGCTATTTGGAAGCTCAGGGGTTCCTCCTGGCTCTGCACTCAAGAATCACTCGTGGTAGTGCTTGGGGGACCATATGGGATGCCAGGGATCGAATCTGGGTTGGCTGTGTGTAAGGCAAATGCCCCACCCACTGTACTATTGCGGGCAATATTCCCAAGTTCTTTGTCCAGTATTTGACATTTGTTTGGGGCTTGCCAAGTGGTCCTTAGAAGACCCCAGGGTGATTCCTGGTGATGCTCAGCCGAGCAACCAGGCCAGTGGTTCAATGCCAGAGTCCAAGGATATGGTGCTGATTAGGCCCACGGGACAGAGCCTGGACTACCAGTGTGTCACCCCAGAGACTCTAGGGCTATACCCAGAAATTCTTGGGGGCCCTCAAGGGCTGTCCCACAATACTTGGAAGACCAGAGTACCAGGGATGGAACCCAGGGTTCAGCCACATGCTTGACATGTGCTCTCATCCCTGTCCTAGCTCCCGGGCCCTGGGAGTCGAGCCTTTGAAAATAGCCTGTTAGCCTGAACTAATTCTGAACCATGAACTGAGAAGCAAACCACTGACGCTTATGATTCCAACCCCCGGAACTCAGGAGGCCTTGGAGATGTGTGTGGAGTGACAGCCGGCTGAGCAGTGTTGCTTACGGGGTCCAGGAGCCTCAGGGCTTGTCTGTGTTTGGTGTCTGAGTCACGGGCTGGCTTCTCAGCCTTTGGCCAGCTGCTCCGTCGGCACCTGGCCTCTAGGCCTGTCACCTGCAGTCAAGCTGTGCTGTCAGTGGCAGGCTGCCAAGGGGGAAACTGCCGGGCAGGGCAGGTCTAGGGAGCTGGGCTACAGGAGAGCACAGCTTCGGGTGAGACCCCCACACCCACCCCCCTTCCTCATTAAGCCTCCGCTGCTGCTTCGTTGCTTCCCTGCTTCCCGGAGCGCAGGAAGCGCCTTGCTGAGAACAGTTCTTAGTGGTCTCATTTTCAACCTTAGGAGGGTCACACACCACTCTGCCAACTGTTTGTACCCGACCGCACTGAGACTGCTCCCACCTTCTGGAGAGGGTGTTGAGGCGTGACCTGCATTCCGCCCTTTCTAGGAGAGCCTCCACTCAGTGCCGGCTGAATTCCAGCAATATGAGTAGAGAAACCGGGAAGTGGTTGGGGCTATCTTTTGAGGGGGGCTACTTTCAGCAGTGCTCTGGGGGCCCGGAAGAACCCCTCCTGACAATTCCTAGCCAACCAGGCTGGCGTGTTGGTGGCAGGGCCCAAGGATGCAGTGCCAACTGTGCCCTGTGGTACCAGGGATAACTGAGGCCCTTCTGCACCACATCTGGAGATGCGGGTGGGAGAGGGGTAGGATCCCATCAGGCTGGGGTCCCACTGAGTTGGGGAGGTTCACGCAAGTAAGCTCTCTTCAGCCCCTAGGTAACATTTTTAGACATCCGCCTTTGAGAAAAGAATTGATGGGGAGCCCTGCCACCGCCAACCTGTGAACCAGCACAGGAAAAGCGGGAAGGATTTGAGGGCAGCAGACCTTTCCCAAGACTCACCCAGAGGGCAAGGAAAAGCCAAGAGGGGGGCTGGAGAGAGAGTACAGCTGCTCTACTGCTCGCCTTGCACGTGACTGACCCAGGTTCCAGCCCTGGCCACCCATATGGTCCCCTGAGCACCACCAGGAGTGACCCCTGAGTGCAGAGCCAGGAGTTAGCCCTGAGCATCACCGGATGTGGCCCCCAAACAAACAAACAAACAAACAAGGGCCAGGAGGGCAGATCCCTGAGGCCTGTCACAATTGCATAGCTGATGGGCTGGAGTCAGGCCATCGGTGGCTCAGGGGACCCTCAGCCTCTGAAGCCTTCCTGCCCAGTGCGCCCTAGACCCACCTGTGGTACTGAACCGTGAAAGTGAGGTTCCCTCTGGGAAAAGCAGGTGACTCCCACCGGAGAATGTTCTTGAAATTAAGTGAATGCATGTGGAGATTTTCAGGAGGCGGCACCACTGCTGAGGCTGTAAAAACAAGGGGGAGAAGTGGGAACCTCTGACCCAGCACCTGCTCCGAACCAGGATCCAGCCAATGGGCCCCCACCCACCCACCCATCCCCCACCAGGATCCAGTCAACGCCCCACCCCACTAGCTCAGTCTCCAGTCTTCAAAGAGGCGGAGAGTGAAGCTGTTCAAGGAGCTGCAAGGGGGCTAGGGGGTAGATCTGGATTCCTCCCAACAATGTTCCATTGTTTTTTAATTTGCATACAGGAATGACAAAACTTCATTTTTGCTTACAAATTCAAATGTCTTTACAAAATGTCCAGTCATTAATCTGCTTAGAGAAAGGCACATTTTTCAGTTGTCTTCAGTTGTCGCAGCCAAAAGAAATTTGAGTTTTATCTACTAGATCTGTCTCCCAGAAGGGTCATGAAAAGGGGGATGGAGGTGGGGGACCAAGGAGGCTTGGGGGTGGGGGTGGTTTGTGTGAAAGCGGAGAGTGACACCGGAGAGGGTACACAGATTTAAGATCCATTTCTTGAAGTATCCTCTAGATTTCCCCATGCGTGTGGGGTGCAGAAGGAGAGATGCATTAATATGCACTCCTGCCGCCTGGCTAATATCCATGGAAAGTTTACCATCTGGACTATATCCATACCCAGGTGCAGCGGCGGAGTGGTGGGGGTGGGGGGCAGTGAAGCCTCCAGTACAGCTGCATTAGGTTTGAGCTCCTGAGGGGACTTGCAAGGCACGACGTAAGAGCCAGAGGGAGAAATCCTCATTAGCCGCAAGCGTCAAACACATGCCATGTGTAGAGCCAAGAGCATAACGACCCAACAACTTGGGCAGACCGGACGGGTTGGGGGGGCGTTAAGACACGTGCTCTGCAGGCAGCTGACACCAGTTCAATCCTTGGTATCATCACCCGAGAGCCATCAGGAGTGACCCCCGAGCTTAGAGCCTGGAGAAGCCCCGCAAGTCCCCAAATGTGGCCCCGATGTCCCCCCACCTGGCCCCGTCAAACACCCCACCAACTGCCCAACACCCACCTCCTGCCAACAGATACAAATGGGAATCGGGGAGGAGGAGATCAAAGGGGATCAAGGCCTGGTGCGCGGCGGCTCCGGGTCCGAGTGTCCGCAGCCCGGGAAAGGGAGGGGCGCGGGACGCGGGTCACTGCACCCGGGAGCCCTCCAGGACGGCCGCCCCCACAAGGCCCTCACCTGACACCAGGAGACAGACCCCTAGCCAGGTCCCGAGGCTCCACGCCATGGCAGCGCCGGAAGGACGCTCCGGGGGCTGGGGCGGGGTGGGGGGGGGTCCGTGGGCAGCCACCGGGCAACACACCCCCGACCCCACTCCAGCGCCCGGGCGCGCTGCCTGGGCCGCGCTCCAGCCGCTTCCGGAAAGGGCGGGGGCGGGGATAGTGGGCCACGCCCCATATAGACACACCCACACGGGCCACGCCTCCGTATGGGCGCCGCCTATAGGCCACTCCCCCCGCAGGCCACGCCCCAAATAGGCCAAGCAGCCGGGCGGCTCCACCCGCGCCCTTTGCAGCGAAGATCCCTGGCGGAGCTGGGGGTGTAGCTTCTCGGATCTTTCGGGTCTTCCTCGAGAGGAAAACCGAGCCTAAAGCAGGCTGTAAAACGGTAGGCACGATAAGCCCCTGTCGGAGGGCAGCCGCAATAGTTAAGTCCTGCGTTTAAAGCTCACAATTGAAGGGACCAGAGAGAGGAACAGGAGCTCAGCACTTGACTTGCTGGCATGCGGCTGCCTCCCCTTACCTGACCCCGGGTTTGAGCTCCCCGTGAGCTCTGGTGCGATCTCTGTGCACCGCCGAGGAGTCCCTGACAATAGGCATATTATGATGTTAACGAGGTAGAGGAAAGTAAACTAAAACTGCCAGCCCAGAGGTTGGTTCTCTGGGTGGGTGGTGGTGGTGGTGGGGTGTTTCCGGACATGGTTCCGTCTCCCTTCTAGTTTCCTCCACCCTGCCCCCTGCGACCTCCTGTCACCCAGAAGTTTGATTTTAAAACGCAAACGTCCCTCGAGCACGTTCGGGAGGGCGTCTCCCCACCCCCGGCCCTCTGCCGTTCTCTCCCGCCAGCAATCCAAAGCCAAGTGGTTGATCGGGTAATAACTCCGCGCCTCTCACAAGGCCTGATTTCCTGTTTTAAACCTTATCAGCGGATGAAAGCCCAGAGCAAAGCCGTGGGTGATGTAACAGTGGCTGGTGTGGGCTGGACCTGCTGGCCAAGGGGTGGGGACGGCGCCTGCGCACAGGGAGCTTTGTGCGTACACGGCCCTGAGAAAAACCTGCGCACACGACCAGTTCTGTATTAAAAAGTATATTTGTATTCTCTTTTCCCAACATCCCTTGGATAATCCAAAAATTAAAAAAAATATATTTAAAAACTTGTATACAAGGTATCAAGTGCAAACATCAAGAGCAACTCAGGAGGCGCTGGAAATCTCTCAACTAGATGCATCCGCAGGATCAGAAATGGCCTGAGGCTGTGGCTTGCTTTCCTCACCCCCCCACCCCCGACGTTATTAGATTATTAAAGTGTGATGCAAGTGCATACCACTGGCGGCTCACACTTGAGGGTGATTTAAGCAACACAAATTGTGCTTCTGGCCACGTGGTTGAGATGATGGTTCCCGTCTTCGCGCTCTCCTTTTAGAGCAGCTATAAAAATAATCCAGGAGAGGAGAGGAGAGGAGAGGAGAGGGGAGGGGGGGGGGGGAGGGGAGGGGAGGGGAGGGGAGGGGAGGGGAGGGGAGGGAGAGAACAGAGGTTCAGGGACTCGCCTTGCACACAGCCCATTGCAGTTCCATCCCCATCATTTGGTCCCCTGGAGGGATCCCTGAGCAGGGGAGGAGGCCCTCAGCACAGCTGGATTCATACATTTCTGTGTTCTCCCTGCACACCCTTTGTGTGCATGTGTGTGTGGGGGGGGGAGGGGGTATCATACCGCCAGGGGAATCTTTATTCCTGAGTATCTCTTGATATTTCTCAGAGCACTGCAGGATCTTGAACTTCATCCAGTGCAACCCTACTTCAGACATGGAAGAAATCCAGCTCGGAGAGGGAACGCAGGGAATGCAGACCGAGCCAGACAGTCCCTGGCCCATGTGCTCTTGTGTTTTTTACTATATGACATTCTAGAACTCCCCTGCGCTCTCTCCCCCTTCTACAAGAAGTGCCCCAAACAGCCCTTCTTCAGAGGTTAAATTGTAGGGCTAGGATTTTAATGCCTTATGTATTCCCAAGCTCAGAAATATTTTTGCTTCAACTTTTTTTTTTTTTGGTTGTTTTTGTTGAGGGTGGCCACAGGTGGTAATGCTCAGAGGTTACTCCTGGCTCTGTGCTCAGGGACCATATGGGATGCAGGAATAGGAACCTGGGCCCATCTGGTTGACTGAACCGGATCAGCCATGTGGAAGGCAAGCACCCTATCTGCTGTACAGTGGCATCCAGCCCTCTTTTCTTTCCTTTTTTTTGGTCACACCTGGCAATGCACGGGAGTTACTCCTGGCACATGCACTCAGGAATTACTCCTGGCGGTGCTTGGGGGACCAGATGAGATGCTGGGAATCGAATTTGGGTCGGCCGTGTGCAAGGCCACTATGCTATCATTCCAGCTCCTCTTTTTCTTTCTTTCTTTCTTTCTTTCTTTCTTTCTTTCTTTCATATTTGTTTGGGTGCCACACCCGGTGATGCTCAGGGGTCACTCCTGGCTCTGCACTTAGGAATGACTCCTTACACTAGTCGGGGGACCATAAGGGATGCGGGGGATGGAACTGGGGTTAGCCGCGTGCAAGACAGACGCCCTCCCCACTGTACCATCGCTCCGTCCCCTCTTTTTTTCTTTTCCTGTCTTTCCTCCCCTCTCCTTGTCCTTTCCCTTCTTTAAAAGATGGCACCGTGTTTCTCAGCAAATGACTCCTTTGTCACGGCTAGTTCCTAGAGTTAGTAGTCCAGTGCCCCTGTCTCACCAGCTGAAACTGAGGACAGAAGAGTTGTTTTCAGAGCAGAGGTGGCAGAATAATGCTGAGGTGGCTGCCCTCCCTGTTACTGAACTTCCCGACCTCATCGGGTCATCCCTCTGGTTGCTTCCGCCCTTTTCTCCCTGTGTTCCTGCTCCTTCCTGACAACTCTGATGAGGTCTCCTGCCAGAAAGCCCATCAGGCGTTGCTACACTGGCCTGAAGGAATGGTTTCCCAAAATCTTACAAGGGCTTGGACCAGCCCTTGGCAGCCCAGGCAGGCACCCCAGTCACCTCCTCTGCCAGTTGGGGGGTTGGGCAGCCACTGCTCCATCTTCTGCATCAGTAGGGAGATATGACAATGCAGTTTCCCACCCCCTGCCCTGAGGAGGATGTCACCAGAAAGATCCAGGGCGATGCTCTCTGCCCAGGAAGCTCCAGAGGGACAAGGATTGTGTGTGTGTTCATGTGTGTGTAGGGGGGGTGCGGGGAGCCCTGGAGGTTATATGTTCATCTCTGAGGCCATGGGTGTGGGACTCATCGGGGTATATAACCATCCCCGAAGCTAAAGTTCGACTCAGACGAAGAGTCACTTTCCTCAGAAGAGGTAGCATCCAGCCACAGGCCCTCAGTGGAGGGCAGCCACGCTCCCGCTATGCTGGCCTCCACCAGGCCTGAATCCGTTTCCTCAGGCCCCTCGAGGTCCATAGTCCCTTCTGGGAGATGCAGCATGAGGGAGTGGCCAGAATCCCCATCCTCCAGGCTCCTCACACACACAGAGTTCAGATCCACGTTGAAGAGAATTCTGCCCCCAGAGCCCTCTGTGGAGCTGACATCCTCCTCAGCAAGGGGGCCTGGAGGCAGGTCTCCAGTTCCCTCACACACTGAGCTGGCCCTCTGCAGGGGCCCAGGCCTGGGCACTTCCAGGGTCTCCCTGTCAGCCTCAGGCTCCACCAGGTCAGCCCCCACAGAACCTGGGTCCTTGGGGCCATCCCCAGTTCTGGAGGAGGAGGAGGAGGAGGAGGCCAGAG